ATTTTAATCACAAGGTCAGTGGTTCAAACTCACCAGATGCTCCTTGGAAACCCTAACCAGGGTCCCTATGAGTCACAACCGACTTGAAGGCACTTAACAACAAAAACAACAATTTTTCCTTTATGACCTCATGTTCACTTATAACATCTTAAAACACTCTATTTCCAAATATGGCCACACTGACAGGTACCAAGAGTTAAGACTTCTGAATTCTTTGTGTATGTTGTTGTGAAGTGCTTTATCGCCCCCCATTTAAGTAGATTAAAAAGGAACAAACCTCCAGGGCTACATTTTCCTTCCTCCCACTGTCATCAGATGCCTTTCAAGGAAAGAACAAGTTCCCCATTGTTTCCTAGCTATAAACCTAGATGTTTCAGTGTTTTCTAAATTCCAAGGATACTTGTATGAAAGGGAAGACTGTGAGAATAAGAAGGTCTGAAACTCCCCCTTGTCTTCACATGATCTACTTAGACACAGACACATATGACACATATGACAACTCTGGGAATTTCCATGAATGTGTCTAGAAAAAGCACGCTGTAATTTAAAATTTTTCTAAGGGCATAAAGTTGCTTCAAAAGCAACTTGCCTTTCTCTTTTCAAATTTATGGGTTTAGAAACTTTTCTGGCTTGCAGTTTAAATATAATGAAATGCACAGATCTTAAGTGCACATTTTGATAGGTTTTGATAAACTTGTTGTTGTTATTGTTGTTGTTAAGTGCTGTCGAGTCAGTTCTGACTCAGAGCAACCCTGTTCAGGGTTTTCGAGGAGCAACTAGTGGGTTTGAACTGCTAACCTTATGGTTTGCAATCTAGTGCTGATCCTGCAGTGCCACACCAGAACTCCCATGTAACCATATAACCAGCATTCCCATCACCTCACCCACCCAAAGCAAACACTATTGCGATTTCTTTCTCTGCACATTAAGTTTATGTTTGAACTTCATTTCAACGGAATCATACATTATGCACTTTTTTTTTAGTCTTACTTCTTTTGTTCAACATAATGTTTTTGAGATTTAGCCATGTTGTATCAGTATTTCATACATTTTTTACAGTTGAGTGGCAGTGGTGATGGTGTGCTGTGGAGTCAGTTCCAACTCATAGCAACCCTGTACAGGGTTTCAGAGGCTGTAAATCTTTACAGGAGCAGAAAACCTCATCTTTCTCCCATGGAACAGCTAGTAGTTCACAACTGCTGACCTCGAGGTTAGCAACCTAATTTGTAATCACTATGCTACAAGAGCTCCTTGAATAGTAATCTATTATATGACTATATCATATAATATTTGTTTCTTCTCCCAATTAGATATATATCTGAATTTTCTTGTTTCTGTTTACTAATCTACTATGAATATTTTGTGCAAGTCTTTTTGCCCATATAGCTTTCACTTCTCTTAGATAAATACCTAGGAATGGAATTGCTTTATCATAGAATAGGTATATGTTTAATCTATTTAAAAAAAGAACTTTCAAATGATTTTCCAAAGTAGTTGTATATTTTACACTCCCACCAATAAGTGTTTTAGTACCTCTACATCCTTACCAACATTTGATATTCTCAGGCTTTCAACCATTCTAAAGGGATATTTTATGGTGGTTTTCAATTTGTGTTACCATGATATCTAATAATGTTGGCACCCTTATTGACAAGTATATATATATATATATAGAGAGAGAGAGAGAGAGAGAAGTGCCTGTTTAAGTCTTTGCTCATTTATTTATTAGGCTGTGCATTTTAGTATTCATCTGCAATTCCAACTCACAGTGACCCTGCATAAGCTTTCTGAGGCTGTAAATCTTTACAGAAATAGAAAGCTTCATCTTTCTTCCATAGAGCAGCTGGTGGGTTTGAAGTGTTAACCTATGGTTAGCTGTGCAGTGCTTATCTTAGAGTGCAACCAGGGTGCACTCTCTCTATATATATATGTATGTGTGTGTGTGTATGTATATCTGTCTGTATCTGTCTATTGATCTATCTATATCTGTCTATATGTACATATACATATATGTTGTTGTTGTTAAGTACCATTGAGTCAATTCCAACCCACAGCGACCCTGTATAGGGTTTCTGAGGAGCAGCTGGTGAACTTGAACCACTGA